AGGGTACCTTAGACTATATTTTCCTCTGCAGGTCAGCGTGTGACTCAGGGATTAAAACAATGTGTGTAACAAACTCAACCATTTAAAAAAATATCGGCACTGCAATTTGAAATTATTCTCCAAAGTCGAAACTGCACTTGGAATTTATTATGAAATAATACTTCTCTGAATGTGCTTCTAACTGGATTTTTGAAGTCTCTAGCTGTTTGGGGCCTTCATAAAAAGAAGTTATCTGATTACTTGAACGTGGCATCATCCATTATCGATTCTAATTTTTCTGGCGAAGCTATTTTAAAATGGTTTAGATCTTATTTTCCTCCTAGGATCTTAGGGCTCGGGATTCTAAGGGATACAAAACATTATGAAGTTAATTTTTCTTGTCTGGCAGGTTATAATCCGATAATTATAGATGAGAGAAAATAGAAAAAAGGCGTGTTCGCAGTCTACATGATAAATAACATTAAAATATTTTATATCAATTCAAATAACTTCGTTTATTCATTAAATGGTAACATTAAACATCAGTCTAGTTTATGTTTCAGGCAATTTGCCGAGAACTACTGTAGACACAAAGACTGTTAGTGCCATAAATATAATAGACCTTTTGAAAAATGCTTTCAAATTAACAAGGTATACTGAGCAATGCTTCTTTCCAAGGTTCTTGACCAAAAAAAATCTGTGGTGAATTCACAGGTGGATACTACTCTCGAGATAGTTATATTTTAATTGGTTATGAGTCTCTCTGTTAGTCTGGCAGACAGAACTTAAGATGGTCCTCAATGATGCTTGCCTCCTGATAGCCATGGCTTTGTATATTCCCCTCTCTTAGTATGGGTGGGACCTATGATTTGCCTCTAACCAACAGAATACAGCAAAGGTGATGGGATGTCACTTCCATGATTATGTTACATAGATTGTAACCTACATCTTGCCAAAGGACTCTCTCTTTTTCTAGTTTTTAAAAAAATACATTTTAGCCCTAACCAGTTTGGCTCAGTGGATAGAGCGTCGGCCTGCGGACTCAAGGGTCCCGGGTTTGATTCCAGTCAAGGGCATGTACCTTGGTTGTGGGCACATACCCATTGGGAGGTGTGCAGGAGGCAGCTGATCGGTGTCTCTCTCTCTCTCTCATTGATGTTTCCGACTCTCTATCCCTCTCCCTTCCTCTTTGTAAAAAATCAATAAAAATATATTTTAAAAAATACATTTTAATGTGTTTCAGAGAGAAGAAGGGAGAGGGAGAGAGAGAGAGAAACATCCATGATCAGAGAGAATCATGGATCGGCTGCCTCCTACACTCCCCCTACTGGGAATCAAGCCCGCAACCCGGGCATGTGCCCTGACCGGGAATCAAACTGTGACCTCCTGGTTCATAGGTCGACGCTCAATCACTGAGCAACACCGGCTGGGACCAAACTCTGGGTTCTAAGACCTCCTTTGAAAGTCCTGCAGCACCCTGCTTTGGCGCGTGGGGTGATTGGCATGTATTGGCATGAGGCCTCAGCTGAATGGGTGCCCCATCTTAGCCTCCTGGAACATGTGGATACATATGGCTTCCATCTCTGTTCCCCCTAGAATTGGGTTAGGCATCCTAAGGGGCCCAGTGCTGTGGAGTATCTTCTTCTTGTCTGGCAGGTGATAATTAGTCACTTCGAGATGAGAGAAAACAAGCAAAAGCCCATTCCCAGAACTGCTGATAGGTATCACACTGCGATGTGTGACATCTACGATTCTATTTCTAACAGAATGGTGATCAACAAGCCCTCGGTAATGGTGGGAACCAGGACTGCTCAGGGGACCACCCGCATCTGTACCCTGTCCTCTTACTCAGCCATGAATGTGACTCTTTGGCTGTGTCTCCTAGTTCTGATTCTGGAGAAAGGGAATCTGATTGGCTTATTCCAACACTGGGCTCCAATCAGCTGTGACCAAAGGGTGAGGTCCGGGGGCCCATTGCCTGCTGCCGAGGGTTCTGGGAGCAGACTGGGGCGGAAGAGGCCAGGCCCACTACCACGGCTGCCACACTCACGAATTCTTCAGTCAATGGAGCTCTCTCCCATTTCTCATCTGCTGGATGTTTCTTGTGTCCTACGAACTAAGGAAACTTGAGTGAGGGCTACGAAGCAGTACTTTGCTTGTTTGTGTTGGTTTCTGCATGTTCTTCATTATTATGTGTTTTTATTGATTTTTTAGAGAGGAAGAGAGAAGGATAGAGAGAAACATGGAGGAGAGAGAGGAACATTATCTATCGGCTGCTTCCTGCATGCCCCTACTGGGGGTTGGGCCCACATCCGGGGCATGTGCCCTGACCCGGAATTGAACCTGAGACCTCTTGGTTCCTGGGTCAGCGCTCAACCACTGAGCCACACCCGTATATTTCTGCTTATTCATTTCACTCTTGGAGAGAGCTGCATGGGCAACAGTGGGAGCCCAGGGACTGTGTGAAATCAAGCAAAGCAAAGGTAGTTCAGTGCAGTGGGCTAGGCCCAAAGAGTTGGGAGGTTGGTCTCCATTGTCTTGGTGAGCAAATTAGGGTTTATTTTAGAGATCTCCAAGGGCCGTTCCCCCTTAAACAGTTCAGAAGTTTACTGACATGACCCCCCCCCCATTTCATCTTTCTTCAAGTTCTGATTTTTTTAAATCACAGCTACGAAGAGTTGAATTCATTAAAGTCATCAATTCACAGCATAAATGATTATCATCACAGACCGCGCAAGGCCCGTCTCTGGTTTTATTTATTTATGCTCACACCCCCTCTTATCTCCCCCAAGAGAAAACCATTCTCATATGTTTAGTGTGCATCCTGTCATTTTTTATCGGCTTATTGCAAATATATTGTTGCTGTTTTGCGGGTGTATTTTGAGCCTGTGAAAATGGTGTTATATGTCATACTGTCTCGTGCAGATGCGCGTGCTGACATGCTCACCAATAATGCGTGATCATGCATCTTACCCACTGAATTCTCCTTCGATGCCACGGGGGCCCTGGTACCCCATCTTGGGGGAATTCTGGCTGGTTGCTCCGTTTACTGGGGTTCGCGGCCAGTGCTTGGCAGCTGGGAACTCCTGGGAGCAGATGGGCCACTCAACAGCCTCCCTGCAATCATCCCAAGTGTGCTCGCTGTTTCTCCAGTTCTTGGAGGTTTTTTAAAAATATCTCATTGATTTCAGAGAGGAAGGGAGAGGGAGAGAGAGAAACACCAATGATGATGAGAGAAAATCACTGACTGATTGGCTGCCTCCTGCACACACACCCCACCCCACCCCCCCGCTGGGGATCGAGCCCGCAACCCGGGCATGTGCCCTTGACCAGAATCTAACCTTGGACCCTTCAGTCCACAGGCCAATGCTCTATCCACTGAGCCAAACAGGCTAGGGCGAATCCTTTGAGTTTTAGCCCTGCTCTTTCTGGTCTGCTGATTTCTCCCCCTCTCTCCTCCCCAGTCCCTCCCTCTGGGCTCACCCCTGCCCCCCACCCCGGCTGCTGTGGAGTCAGTAGAACATGCTCCAACCCAGCCAGCCGTGAGCGGGGCAAACCACAGGGCAGGTGGCGCGGGAGATGCGATTTGCAGCGGCTTCTCCGCGGGAACAGGCCCGGAGCAGACGCCCTCCGCTCGATTTGCTGGGGAAATAAATCCCAATGCAGAGAATTAATTTCCGCCTGAAGTCGGGAAAGTCAGCTGATCGTCAGCAAAGTGGCAGCTGACCTTTCTCCCACTCGTGATAAAGAAGGATCAAAGGGAGGAAGGCAGAGAAACCATGAGAGCCCATGATGTGATTTCCCCCCAAGGGGTTGAGATCTTTGAAAGGTTCGGGTTACTTGGGGGAAATTAAATAAACCGTTATATTACACCGTTCTGCCTTTAGCCACCAAGGGTTCCCTATTGTGAAAATGCTTCCCAGCGAGGGCCTGTCTGAAATATTGACCTCCCAAGGTTGTAGGCGTCCCTACCGCGGACCCAGTAAGCCACAGTATGGGAAGTCATGTTTCCCGGGATGCTGCTTTTATTTTATTTTATTCATTTACTTATTTTTGTTTTTGTTAATCCTCACCCGAGGATATTTTTCCATTGATTTTTAGGGAGAGTGGAAGGGAGAGGGAGAGACAGAGAGAAACATTGATGTGAGAGAAACACATCGATTGGTTGCCTCCTGCATGAGCCCCCACCAGGGCCCGGGCCGGGGAGGAGCCTGCAACCAAGGTACCTGCCCTTGACCAGAATTGAACCCTGGACCCTTCGGTCCGCAGGCTGACGCTCTATCCACTGAGCCAACCGGCTAGGGCTGGGATATTGCTTTTACATAAAAACCTACAGTGCCACTTTCTTTCATGATGCTGATCCTGAGAAACTAACGGTGTTCAGTGAATGGATAGAATTTTTTATAACTGTTTTTATTGATTTCAGAGAGGAAGGGAGAGGGAGAGAGAAACGGAAACATCAACGATGAGAGAGAATCATTCATTGGCTGCCTCCTGCGCACCCCCTACTGGGGATCAAGCCCGCAACCAAGGTACATGCCCTTGACTGGAATTGAACCCAGGACCCTTCAGTCTGCAGGCCGATGCTCTATCCACTGAGCCAAACCAACGAGGGCAATGAATAGAATTTAAAAAATCTGTCCCCCTTACAGAAAACTTCACAGAAATTTTTAAGCAGCAAAGGAAAATCCGGAGGGGAAAATCAATTTTAAGAGCAGAGAAAAGTATAAAAAGACTGAGTTGATGCTTCTAAAACCAATCTTCCCTCCACGGATTTGGTTTTAAGACCCTGCCGTTTGGCATCGCAGATCGTATCACCCAGCGTAGACCGCGTGGGAAGCTTCCAACTGGGTGGACACTTGGTTCTGGATTTCTCTCCGGTCTGCAGGCCCGCTTCCGAGCTGTTGGATTCTTTGCCCTTTGAGTCCAAGTGACATTCACCACCGCATCACACATTTCATTCCCAAAGAGCCCTGTCCCCGTGCCTTTCATAAATGTGTTTGTTTTTTTCTCTTTTACAGAAGCTGCAAAGAATCGATACTGCTGACTGTCATCCAGCCTTACCCTGTAAGTGTCCTGCGCGTAACAGTGCCGTCGCCTGGTCTCAGGCACCTGTGTGCCCCTCCCTCCGGTAAAACCACGATGAGAAATGACAGCAGAGAAAAAATAGCGTGCATCCGCGGCACCGGTCACGAATCAGGAGTGTTTGTATGTTGTACTTCACGATAGCAAAGCTAGTCATTGGAGAGAAAAGAAAGTAGCGCCTTTTCTAAATACTGTATCTTACAAATCAGCTGTCCAGTCCTATGTGACGCTCAGATCTGGAAATGGCACAAAACTCAAGACTATGCTCTATCCACTGAACCACACAGGCTAGGGCCCATGATTTTCTTTTAAACAACTTTATCATGGTGTAATTCACATATCAAAGAAGTCACCCCTTTTGCATGTACAATTCAAGGGTCTTTATGGAATTTACTGAAGTACGCGGCCTTCATCACAATCCAGCTGGAAAACATTCCTTTCACCCGAATGCGATCCCCTTCCCATTTGCAGTGAAACCCTTCCCGCCCTCAATCCCAGGCCGCCGCTGATTTACTTTCTGCTTCTATAGAGTTGCCTTCGCTTGTGAATTTCGCACGTTGTCAGTGGAACTATAAAATGCTGAGGCAAATTCCTTCAGAGATTTCCCCAAACATTTCCTGTCCGTACCTGTGTGTCCTTCGCAGGGAGTAGCAGCGATTCCCACCAGGTTACACTTCTGTTTTCTGCCCCATAGAGCTGGAGTGTTCCTACATCAGTGAAAAGGCTCTGGTATCTGCCAGTCTCCACCTTATGACCAAACTCTTCAACTCCTCATCCCAGAATGTTCCTCCTAAGCCAGTGGTTCTCAACCTTCTGGCCCTTTAAATACAGTTCCTCGTGTTGTGACCCAACCATAAAATGATTTTCGTTGCTACTTCATAACTGTCATGTTGCTACTGTTATGAATCGTCATGTAAATATCTGATATGCAGGATGGTCTTAGGCGACCCCTGTGAAAGGGTCGTTCGACCGCCAAAGGGGTCGCGACCCACAGGTTGAGAACCGCTGTCCTAAGCGCTATGTGCTAGGCATTTGGGGCAGCAAACAACATATACCCAAGATTCTAATCAGAGCACAAATAGAATTAGCCAAGACAATAAATTATGCCATGGAGGAGATCATATACATAAAAATCTCAGCCTCATACTGTTACTTTTAGTTCTATCTCTTGAACATCACACTTACACACACACACACACACACACACCTTTTTAAAAATAGATATATTTTTATTGATTTCAGAAAGAAAGGGAGAGAGAGAGAGAAACATCAATGATGAGAGTGAATCATTGAGCGGCTGCCTCCTGCACGCCTCCTACTGGGGATCGAGCCCGCAACCCAGGCATGTGCCCTGACCAGGAATCGAACTGTGACCTCCGGGTTCATAGGTCGATGCTCAACCACTGAGCCACGCCAGCCAGGCCACACACCTTTTGATTTGAAAACAGGATGTACGAGAACCAAGATTTGAGATCTGGTTCCCAACACTATAATGGTGATTCTTATACTTGCTCCAAACTCTTGACTTCCTCAGCTGAGTGAGGAGAAGGTTCGATCCCATTCAGGGGCCTCCCTGCTCCATCTCCTGATTCCATGATGTCTTCCCTGGAAAGGAGAGGTCACCTGTGTGTTTAGATTATTTCCGCGAACCAAAGTGTGTTTAGATTATTTCCGAGAACCAAAATGTCACTTGCAGTGGACAAATCCATGTTGGTGAAGCCAATGGAAATGTCCATAATAAGCAACTGATTGGCCCAATATAAGTTCCTGGGGGAACCTCAGGTTTGCATTGCCTTTCCTGAACTCTTTCTCTCCACTTTATCACCTACTAGAGGCCCAGTGCACGAAATTCGTGCATGGGTAGTGTCCCTAGCAGCTGCCGGCCAGGCCCTTCCTTTGTTCTGCGCCACCCCTTGGTGGTCAGCGCACATCACAGCAAGTGATCGAACTCCCGGTTGGTTGAACTCCCGAGGGGACACTTTGCATAATAGGCTTTTATACACTGAGTGGCCAGATTATTATGACCACCCCATCAGTACTTCATTGATACTTCCAAAAATACTGAATATTGAAAACTTCCTAAGCAAATACTCTTAAGGTTTTATTATTATTATTATTTGCATAACTAATTCACTTCATTGTACTGATGGGGTGGTCATAATAATCTGGTCACTCAGTGTGTATGTATATAATCTGACCTAGCAATGCAAGGTCAGAACCTGAGTCCAAACTAGGTTATTTTTGCCCCATGCAGTTGACTTAGAGAAAAAGAGGGGAGTGTTGCATTGAAGTTCAGGGTTGTGTCTTGTGGCCTTGCTTGCTCTGTTTGCCATTTGAGTCTGCATGACTTGTTATTCATAGGAATACCCATTGCTATCGGTGAGTCCTGGAACTGCCTTTTAACAGATACTCTGGAATTTTCTAGACGTTCAGGGGGCTCTCACTGTTGTGCTATGTTGAAAGTCAACGCTTAGCCCCACCACTGAGGAGCAAGTGATGCATGTTCTTGCAGCCAACAGCTCTACCTCTGCTTCTCAGCGTCGCTCTTCCCCTCCCAGCTATTGTAGGAGAATTCTCATCTTTGATTTCCTTTGACCAACCCCCCTTCCTGAAGTGCCCACAACATACTCCACCCCACCACCTCCTCGGCCTGGTTGAATCCTTCTCGCCCTTCAAGTCTCAGCATACATTCTAAATGCTTCCTTAGCGTTTCTTAGTGTTGGCACTGTGGCCATTTGGGCTGGCGGATTCTCTGTTGAAGGGGGCTGCCTTGCGCATTGTAGGATGTTGACCAGCAGCCCCGGCCTCTACCCACTAGGCGGCAGTAGTAGGACCTCCTCCCCTATTGTGAGGACAAAAAATGACTCCAGACACTGCCAGATGTTCCATGGGGAGCAAAATCTCCCCCACTGGGGACCACTGGCCCGCCTAAAGTTTGCCCTTACTGATCTAGTCCAAAGTGGCTCTTTCCTCTTTTGAGTTGTAGGAGTGGAAATAATGTAGTTAAAACCCCCAAGTTACTTAAACAGATACATTACATGTAGAGAGGAGAGCAGATGAGAGAAGAAGACATTTCAACATTTTACTTATATTTTTGTGTTCAGATTTTTCTATAAGCAAATTGGTGTTTTTATTTTATTTTAGTTGAGTTTTATTTCTTCCCAAACATTCTCTTGGCAATCGGGATTGACATACAGAAACAGATGACCCAGCAGACCAAAAGAACGCCCGTAAATGGTATTTTATTACAGACAATAAAAATTAGCATTTTTATTTCCTTGTAATTTGCTGGCCCGCATTTTTAATGTTGTGTTTCCTCTGCCTAATGAGGTCCAGTCTAGACAGCGAGCCGATGTTCACACCTTCTTGCCATATTCTACCTGAGCTCAGGGCACCCCAACATCCAGTCACAGAAATCAGTCTCCAGGGGGGCCCAGGTCAGGGGGGCCTGGACGAAGATCGTAGGGTCCCCACAATTCTGTGAGAAGAAATCATTCTTAACAGGTTGCTGCCTTATATTTTAAATAATATGGAGGGCGCTCTGTCCACCATTTTTACTTTATTTCTTAGAGAAAATTGTGCCAGGACAGAAGGAAACACAGAAGTAGCCAAATATGTCGGCGAACCTTCCCCCTAGTGACAACCAATAGGAACATTTTGGCCCTTTTCCTTCCAGTCTTTTTGTCCTGTGCCTTGTCAACAATTGAGATCATATTGTATGTGCAATTTTATTCTGCTTCTTTCACTTCGTATATCCGGCATTTCCCATATCATCAAGAATTCTGCATAAGCGTCATATACATGCCTATAAAACCTATGTTGATTTACTTAACCAACTCCGTATCATAGAACCCTTCATAATGCCTTTAATGTTTTGCTATTATAAATAATTCTGCAAAGAACATCTTTGTGTATAAATCCTATTGGTATTTACTAGTAGTAGTATCTATGTATTTAGTATTATTATTATCCATATCTAATAGTATTTCCTCAGTATGGAATTTTAGAAGGAGAATCTCTGCGTTACTCGTGAATTTTATTTGTTTGGTTCTGATGTGCTGTCTTCTTTCCTTGTATGTGACTATTTTTTAAAAAATATATAATTTTATTGATTTCAGAGAGGAAGGGAGAGGGAGAGAGAGAGAGAAACATCAATGATGAGAGAGAATCATTGATTGGTTGCCTCCTGCATGCCCCCCACTGGGGATCAAGCCCATAACCCAGGCATGTGCCCCCGACCAGAATCGAACCCGGGACCCTTCAGTCCGCAGGCCAACGCTGTATCCACTGAGCCAAACCAGCTAGGGCTGTGACTATTTTTTTATTACAGATGTTTCTTGGCCAGCTTCTTTCTTCTTTCCTTTCCCCAGTTCCCAAGTCTAGAACTTCCCATTTCAGCCCTAGCTGGTATGGCTCAGTGGGTAGTGTCAGCCTGTGGACTGAAGAGTCCTGGGTTCGATTCCGGGCAAGGGCACATGCCCAGGTTTCAGGCTCGATTCCCGGTATGTGGCGTGCAGGAGGCAGCCATTCAATGATTCACTCTCATCATTGATGTTCCTCTCTCTCCCTCCCTCTCCCTTCCTCTCTGACAGCAATAAAAATATATTTAAAACAAAACAAAACATGTAGAACTTCCCAGTTCAACCTTACCTGAAACAAGGCTTATTTAAAGAGTCTCGCCCCAGCCAGTTGCTCAATGGTTATAGCATTGGCCCGTGGACCAAAGGGACATTGATTTGATTCCCGGTCAATGTCCTACCTTGTTTGCAGGTCCGATCCCTGGCCCTAGTCGTGGCACATGTGGGAAGCAACCAACTGATGTCTCTCTCTTTCTCTCTCTCTCTCTCTCTCTCTATCTATCTATCTATCTCTGTATCTCTCTCTCCCTCCCTACCTTGGTTACAGGTCTGATCCCCAGCTCCAGTCGTGACACGTATGAGAAGCAACCAATCGATGTGACTCACATCGATGTTTCTCTCTCTCCCTCTCTCCATCTCTCCCTCTCTCCCTCTCTCTTCCTCTCTCCTTCACTTCCCCTCTCTCTAAAAAAATTCAATCAGGTTTCTTTGAGGGACCCACTTGCCTGCCTCTCACTTCCTGCCTACCTTCCAGCATGTTCCACACACCCGACGGAAGCTCCAGACCTCCTCATGGAAGCCCCAGTGTAGCAGACGCTATTAGAACTGGAACCAGGTTCACTTGGCATGTGTCATGTCAAGCATGTCAGTCCACTTTCCAACCGAGGCAACCAGTGATTGTTTGCCTGTGGGCTTCTGGCCGCAGGAGCATGCTCATGGAGCACACCGGAAGTGCCGGAAGTGCCGAGGTGTTACTCCTCCCAGAGGAGCAGCAGCTGGTGGATAAAGGCCCCAGCTTCCCCTCTTCCTCCGTCAGTATAACTCTCAAGCCTGTGGTCTGCCTTGGTTCCCACGGTGGTCCAGTTGCTTCCAGGGGGTGCCTGCCTTCACAGTGAATGCTTTATGGGTTACCCCCCTTCCCTGCCTCCCTTCCCCCACTTTCCTACCTGTGCTTCCTGGGAGCGCCTCCCAACACAGCTGCCTGCCTGTGAATCCTTGTTTTAGGGTCTGCTTTAGGGGGGACTCCAAACTAAGTTACCCAGTGATAACTGTGGGCTAGTATGTCATCAACAGGCATCTTCCCGGCGCCTACTGTCTGAGTAGTACTGTAAAGCTACGGGGATTACAAGTTCAAGGCCTTACACTTCAGTTTCAAGAATTAATCTTATTGATGTCATTTGTTTCCAGCTCTGTTCTAGCGACTTCTGAGAGCATCTAAACGCATCAGGGGCAAGCGGCACACTTATCTTGGCCACCTTAGCAATAGCTGATTTGGAAAGGGGTGAAAGGTTAATTAGAGGCCTTCTAATCTCAAAATTAATTAACAGCGGGAGAATCTGATTATTCTAAATAGTCATTACTTATCATTTCCACCACAGGCTATGAAGTGCTTATGATCAGGTCTGCAGGTTGCTAAGAATTAATTCACCAGGTTTTGGAGTGGTGCACATTGTATATTTTTTGAGCGGCAGAGAGAGATCTGAGTTAAAACTGCAGTTGCACCCTAACCAGTTTGGCTCAGTGGAGAGAGCATCGGCCCTCGGACTGAAGAGCCCCGGGTTCGATTCTGGTCAAGGGCACCTACCTCGGTTGCAGGCTCGATCCCGGCTCTGGTCAGGGCACATGTGGGAGGCAACCAATTGATATGTCTCTCTCACATCGATGTTTCTCTCTCTCTGTCTCTCCCCATCTCTTTCACTCTCTCTACAATTCAATGGGAAAATATCCTCGGGTGAGGATTAGCATAGAAAAATAAAACACTACAGAAGTGACTGAGTTACATTTCCCATGAACTCCAGCCACTGGAATAAGCCAGTACTTTGTTGATTCTAATTCAATGATCTTCAGACTTGAAGAGCTTATGGTTTTATGATCTGAATGTAATTTTTAAAAAATATTTTCTTGATTTTTTACAGAAAGGAAGGGAGAGAGATAGAGAGTTAGAAACATCGATGAGAGAGAAACATCGATCAGCTGCCTCCTGCACACCCCCTACTGGGGATGTGCCCGCAACCCAGGTACATGCCCTTGACCGGAATCGAACCTGGGACCTTTCTGTCCGAAGGCCGATGCTCTATCCGCTGAGCCAAACAGTTAGGGCCTGAATGTAATTTTTAAAATGTATGTTGATGATATGAAATACTCACGACTCCAGGATAAAAAAAAGCACTCCTATGGATTCTTAGTTAGACTTGATATGTATAACATGATATTTGCTTAACTACCTTGGCTACCTGGTGTGCTTTCTGGTTTTCCTAGATTACCAGGTTTGTGGTTAGTGCCTGGTAAACAGATATGGGAATGAGGCTCCGAGCAGTGGGCATGCTCTAGCAAGAGGGAGAAGAGAGAAGCAGCCCATCTTTCTTTTTTAAAAATATATTTTTATTGATTTCAGAGAGGAGGGGAGAGGGAGAGAGAGATAGAAACATCAGTGATGAGAGAGAATCATTGATCGGCTGCCTCCTGCACGCCCCTTACTGGGGATCGAGCCCACAACCTGGGCATGTGCCCTGACCAGGAATAGAACTGTGACCTCCTGGTTCATAGGTCGACATTCAACCACTGAGCCACACTAGCCGGGTGAAGCATCCCATCTTGACAAGTTCTGCTAAACAGGGCCACTTACCTTAGGGGCAAAGAACCCTATATACTCCCGTGGGGACATCACTGCATTCCAAGATCACACAGCAAATGATATGCATCAGAAGTTAAGTTCTGTTAAATATGCTTTTTTATCGAGGCAAGGAATTACGTAGAACATTTTAGAAAAACATGGCAAAATACTACATTTAAAAATTCAGATGCATAGAAAACTAAACCTCACACGTGTGAAACCCCTCATTCCCGAATAATGCCAGAGAAGGGGGTGTTCCGCCTTCTGACATCTCGCCTAATTAGGCAGGTCTGCGTAGCGTAGCTTTATTATAACCGCTTCACTTGTGCTCAGCTCATTGTGCCGGTATAAATATCGCCTGCTTCACATCATCGCGGGAGAATCATGTTTTCCCTTCAGCTAAAAAATTGCACATCAAAAGCGAATGAACTCACAGCTGTCTGATTTGTTCGTTAATCATCACTGAACTCGGCCTCTAATTGCCAAGATACCGATGAGAACACCGCTGTCATCCCTCCAGCTCTGCGGGAGGACTTGCCAAGTCACGTTGAGCGTGTTCAAAGCGCTTCTTTTGGAACAGCAGCCATTTGGAGTTGTTTTGTGGTATTTTGTGAGTGTGTGTTTTTAAGGGCAGCCATTCTCTTAAAATATATCGCCTTGGTGGCGGAATTAAAGCTCTGGGGGTCAAACCATCCATCCATCCAGTCCTCTGAGATTTCTTAGAGCAAAGCATGGGATGGGTATGGAGGGGAACTTTCAAAATAACAGGTTTCCCCCAATATTAAGGCAAAACTCCACCCAGGAGTATACCCACATATGTTTTGTTTTCAGAGAGGGAGAAAGAGATAGAAACATCAATGATGAGAGAGAATCATGGATCAGCTTCCTCCTGCAAGCTCCACATTGGGGATTGAACCCACAACCCCAGCATGTGCTCTGACAGAATCAAACCATGATCTCCTGGTTCATAGGTCGATGCTCAACCACTGAGCCACGCCAGCCAGGCAATTTCTAGAATTCTTTACACAACATCTTTAATCTCTTAGGACTACGTAGTATAAAAATCATTACATTGAACCATATGCAATTTCCAATATTTGACCATTTTAATCTATAAAATAACAATTGTGTGATTCAAACTAAATATTTACCTCCGTGTTAGGTTCAATAGAAAATGCGATTCTTTTTAAAAATAAAAAAATACGCCCAGCCCTAGCCAGTTTGGCTCAGTGGATAGAGCGTCAGCCTGCAGACCGAAGGGTCCCGGGTTCGATTCCAGTCAAGGGCATGTACCTTGGTTACAGGCTCCTCCAAGCCTGGGCCCTGGTCGGGGCATTTGCAGGAGGCAACCAGTGCATGTGTTTCTCTCACATGGATGTTTCCCTCTGTCTTTTCCTCTCTCTCCTACTCTCCCTAAGAATCAATGAAAATGTATCCTCAGGTGAGGATTAAAAAAACCCAAAAGGTGCCCTAGCCGGCTTGGCTCAGTGGATAGAGCGTTGGCCTGCTGACCAAAGTTCCTGGGTTGGATTCTGGTCAGGGCACAGGCCTGGGTTGCAGGCTCGATCCCCAGTAGGGAGTGTGCAGGAGGCAGCCGATCCATGATTCTCTCTCATCACTGATGTTTCTCTCTCTTCTTCTCCCTTCCTCTCTGAAATCAATTAAAAAAATATTTTTTAAAAAAGATAGAAACCAACTGTTAAAAGTTCTGTATTATGTCATCAGTAATCCAATGAAATGTTTTCTGTTTTTCAGTCTCCCAAGTCAGCGTTCATTAGTGCTGCAAAGAAGGCCAGATTAAAGTCCAACCCCGTGAAAGTGCGCTTCTCCGAGGAGGTCATCATCAACGGGCAGGTGTCGGTGAGTGGACAGTCTCCTGATTGTGATCGGAGCGAGTCACTGAGGCACTAAGCAAGGCCAGCACCCACTGGACCTGACACTGGTTGCTGGATTTCACAGGAGCGTCAAATCTCAGGGTCACCCGGTGGTGTCTGATAGGTCCCCCCCAACATTTCCAGGATCCGGAGAGTCCAGTATTTCCTGGAATGCTTCCAGCGTTAGAAACCTCACTTCTTTGCAAAGAAGTTGATTTGATTGGGCGTCACTGGCATCGCCTCTTTTTGGGTAAAATGTGCCCCTTTGAAATTCCACCTGTTTCTTCCTGTTCTGCCAACTCAGCATTCTTCCATGAAAGCCCCTGTGTATCTTGAAAAAAGCCTTGCATACCCACTAATTTTTTTCCCTTATCCAAAATAAAACGCCCTATTGTTTCAACTAATCAAAATGGAAAACAGTTAAAATGATGGAAAACTTTCATATATGCAACCAGGATTTCCATTAATAGCTCTTGATAGAAATCATGATTGCTCAGGCACATCATTGATCTTCTAAATGAATAATGCAAACATTGATAGGATGCTTTATTTTCGATTTTCTCCAAAAAAAAAAAATAGCATCTTGTTTTCTGTTTTGAGAAAGCTGTCATCTAGGGCACTAATTTCTTAGAACTTTGAAATGCCAGCTTTTTTTGTGGAGGGTTTATTGTTGCTCTTGCTATTGTTAATCAGGGGTGGGGAACGTGCGGCCCGCGGGCCATACAAGGCCCAGGAAATCATTGGGTCTGGCCCTGCCAAGGCATTAGAGGTGAGTTCATCAAATGTTTGAGCAAATAGAGCAGGCTCATTTTTCAGTTGATCATTCTGTATGGCCCACGAATGGTGTTACAAATATCCCAATGGGTCTGGGCAGAAAAACGGTTCCCCACCCCTGGCAAACTGACAAGGGTAAAATCTCCTCCATGTCATGCTTCTTATGGGTCGGAAACTCTCCCCTGAGCGCCGTCCTGGATCTGACTTTGAAGATGTAGCCTGCACGTCCTGGGCCAGGCACGCATGGACCCAGCATCTCCCAGCTCCAGCTTGCTGACCTCTGTCCGCCCCAGCTGGGCGCCAGGGGCTCAGCTGGCCCATCTGTCATACTATGGTGATGCTCGTGGGCGGCGGCATCAGGCTGCCACGGTGCTGCCCTGTGAGCATTTGGCTGTGGCCTTGGCCTCTCGATCGCCCCTCTATCATCTCATTTCCTCTCCCTGCTTCACACTGTGGCTGGTGCTGCACGGTTCAGTGGATTCCCATCCCGCAGGAGGCAGAGTTAGCATACATTATCATCTCAGAACAAGCCCATCCCAGCTCAAGGCTAGAAGGTTCCAGTCACAGAGGAATCGCTGTGTCATGTGACATCCCCTCATCTTTTCTCAAGTTTCCGAGTGGGAGATGGGCCATGCGTTGATGCATCTTTAGAGAGACTATAGCTTGAGGCTGCTGGGCAGTGTCCCTGTGTCCCTGTATAGAACAGAGCTCGTTCCAGGCAGCTGGTGTGTGTGGACCCAGCCCTGGGGGCCCATCCTCTGGGCCATTTGGTCACGTGTCTGCTCCTCAGCCTCTGTGACCATCTTCACTCCCCGTCTGCTCTTGCTCTTCTGAGTTATTGTGTGTCATGCCTCCTGGACTTGGAGCCACATGAACTCAGTGAGCTGGGCAGCACAGAAGTCCCGGGTGAAGTAGAAAGGAAAGGAACGGATTTCAGAGAAAGAAATGGGAAGTGACAGACAGGAGCCTGGCCCCAAAATAGTGAGGGATTGGATCCTCCTGGACTAATGCAGCGGCG